TTAAAACTTAACAACTCGCACAATAACCGAGTACAACTCGAACTGCAATTGCCGGTTAAAGAAAGAATAATTTGAATTATTAATTAACACTCCTAAATTTTTGAAATTTTGAATTTAATACTTTATAACAGGAAATGTTATAGTTGTCTAACAAAAGTGACGAATCCCACCGCTGCCACCAAATCAGCTGTTACATCCCGAGCAGAAGGCAAGGTTTTAAGGTTAGGTTAAAGAATTTGGGAGGAATGGTAGGCTGATTATGGTCAAGTTGGTAAAGCTTGACCTTTATTTTTAAGTAGGATCGTTTGTACTTGTCAAAACTACGGGTTTTGAGTTACAACAACATAAATATTCCCTTTTTATAATTTATTTAAATATTAAATAGTATGATTACAATAATTATACAATTATTACTTACTTTTAATTACAGGTTTATTCGTAGATTTCAATAATAGCGCAGGTCGTTATAAGTTTGGTTTTCAACAGTTGTTTCAATTGAATGAAACTAAGAAAGTTTGTTATGTTACACTTATGTAACTTTCACAACTTATTAATGTTTTTGCGTTTGTTTCAAGAGTTAAATACCGTTTCTAAGTGTTACTTATCGTCACTTGCACCTATTTAAGGAAAGAAACTTGTTTCTAAGTGTGAGAAAAGCAACTTGCACAATAATTGAGTACAATTCGGTCTGCAATTGCCAATTAGAGAAAGAATTGGTGAAAAACTACAATTAATGAAACTTGACACGCAAAATACGACAGTTAATTCATTTAAATAATTGATTCTAAGTGTAAAATTGCTTTTCTTGCACCTTTTACGGAAAGAAACTTGTTTCTAAGTGAAAAACAAAATTGACTTGCACAAAAACCGAGTACAACTCGAACTGCAGTTGCCGATTAGAGAAAGAATACAAAATTTAATGAAAAACTGAAGGGTCGCTCTACAATGACTATTGGTCTTATTAACCGCACCGGAACTTTTGACAATTATCGATGGAGAAGCTTTCGTTTATATACGCTAAAATGAGTAAAAGTGGGAGAGTTTATAGCTAATTATGGGGATAAAGTATGTTGCCTTCTTAGAATTTACATTTCTGCTTATTATAGTCCTATTTATAGTTTGATTTTAAGAAGAATCACATCCATCGACAATTGGTCAGTACTTTTGCCCCATATATGGAAAAGTGAAGCTCGAGTTACACGCAGTGATTCCTAGAACTCGGGTTGCGCAACTAGGTCACAGCGAGCGAGTTCGAGCTTGAGGTAGTACTGATGCAACGCATTCCTTTCTATTTTGGTCAAGTTTTACCTCTTATATGGAAAAGTGAAGCTTGAGTTACACGCAGTGATTCCTAGAACTCGGGTTGCGCAACTAGGTCACAGCGAGCGAGTTCGAGCTTGAGGTAGTACTGATGCAACGCATTCCTTCCTATTTTTATCAATTTTTACCTCTTGCTTTGTTTTTCTCCATATAAAGTTTCAATTTTGATTACATCTCAATTTCGGACTTTAAAGTCTTTTTAACACGCGTATTATATATCAAATTAAAAGATACTTGCATTCCTTTAACCTTTCGTTACATCGCAGATACACAAAACATATCCTTTACTATCTTATCAAAGCAAAAATGTATCTGGGATGTAACAAACAGATTTAATTTTTGCAGAAATTCAATTATATTCAAAAATTTTTTCATTTCTCCTCACAATTTCAATTATCTTTATACATATCAAAATTCTTCGGCAAAATTCAATTACTATTCAACATTTTTTAAAAAAATCTGTTCAACATTTCAATTATCTTTCCGAATAATAAAATTCTTCTCCAAAATTCAATTATTTGTAAAGAAATTGAATAAAATTCTTGTCAAAATTTCAATTATCTTTAAAAATAATAAAATCCATCCTAGAAATTCAATTATTTTCAAAAGTAATAAAACTCTTTGCAGAAATTCAATTATTTTCAAATTTTTTTTAAATTTCTCGTCAAAATTATCATTATCTTCACAAATAATAAAATTCATCATGGAAATTTAATTATTTTCAGTAGTTCTGATAAAATTTTTTGCAAAGTTCAATTATCTTCAAAAGAAAGAAAATACTTCGCAGAAATTCAATTATTTTCATATTTTTTTTTAAATTTCTCGTCAAAATTTTATTTATCTTCATAAATAATAGAATTTATCCTGGAAATTTAATTATTTTTAAATGTTCTGATAAAATTCTTTGCAAAATTCAATTACTTTCAGGATCTTTCAGAATTTTTATAAAATTTTTTGCAAAATTCAATTATTTTCATAAATAACTAAAATTCATCAAAAGAATTTAATTATTTTCAAAAGAAATAGAATTCTTCTTAGAAATTCAATTATGTTAACATTTTTTTAAAAATTTCCTTTAAAATTTCAATTATCTTTATAAATAATATAAAAATTTTTCGAAATACTATTATTTTCACAAATTTTAATTAAATTCTTCTTAAAATTCAATTATTTTCAGGAATTATTTACAGCAATTATTTGCAGTAATTTTAATACAATTTTTGGCAAAATTCAATAATTTTTATAAATAACCAATGTTCAACACAATAATTAAATTATTTTCACAAGTAATAGATTGCTTCTCAAAAATTCCAGTATTTTCAAACCACTTTGTAAAATTCTAGGCAAAATTTCAATTATTTCGAAAAAAAATTTCTCAATTCAATGATTTTCAATATTTACTATTTTTATAATAATTCTCAAAAGAATTCAATTATTAAGAAAACAAATTTTGTTAAAATTCTACGAAAATATTTAATTACTTTTATGAATAATAGAAAATTTAATAAAACAAGTATAATTATTTAAAAAAGAATTGTCATACATTGTATCGATAAAAAATAAATTTTAAAAAAATTCTTCAAATTCTTTATGAGAATTGAATTTTAACCAACATAGAATTATTATATAAATTATTTATTTTTGTATTTAAATAATTGTATAGAATTTTCTAATAAAAATTAAGTTAAAAATTAATTTCCTTTTTAAATTTTAGATAATAATTTAATATTAAAAGCATTATAGCATGAATTTTGAGAAATAATTCAATATTTGAAAAGGTTTCATATTAAAATCTTTTAAATTTTCAATTTTTTATACTTTTAATTGAGGCTTCGAATCTTAAAAATAATAAAATTCCCAGGTAGAAATTTGTCAAGTATTACTTATTTCCTTCCAGTAGCTGTAGAGTCGAGAGCGAGTTTCACTTGCAAAGACAATCTGTCCAGTCCTGAATAAGTGACTGGCCAGTTTCACTGGATAAAAACAATTCCCCTTTGTGAACAGTACTTTTGTCAAGTTACTGACCAGAAAATCTGATCATAATCGTGACAAGAATTTATTTCCAGACACTGGCCAGTCACTAATTTAAAGAATTATTTAAGGTTCCATCTAGAAAAACTGGTCCATCACTGATCAGAAAAACTTGCCGAATTCTATTAAAAGAATTATTCTAGATTTTTCCGAATCTCTAGTCAGAAAATCTTGACACTATCAAAAAATCAGTCAGAGAAGCAGGCGCAATGTGCCTACATCATAGGGTTTCGTGGCCTAAAATGACAAAAAAATAAAATAAATATTAATTTATTTAGAAATTTTTTTTGTACTTAAGATTGAAAATTTCTTTTTATTACCATAGTAACGGTTGCCATGGAAACGGTTGTTATGGCAACCATTACTATATCAACGGTTGCCATGGCAACGGTTGTTATGTTGTCTTAAGACTTAATACATAAGACGTAAGAACTACGGACGGACACCGAAGTCTCGCTATAAGGGTTTTGGCCCTTGGCCACGAAACCCTAAAAAAGAAACTGCTGATACAGAAACTGACCAGTTACTAAGGAAAAAACAAAGCACCAGTCCCATAAAAATACACACTTATAATAATTTATAATTAGATATTAAAAATAATCTTTATGTTCCATAGGGTCAAAAACAGAAAAGTCTAAAGTAACTTTATTTAAAAGTTATGATCGTTTCACTGTCACATTACTAATGTTTACATTTTTCTAAATTTTGACAAGATAAGACGTCAAGTCTCTGACAAGTGACTAAACAGTTTATCTGGTCATGATTTTTGACCATTACTTCTGACAAGTCACTGTCCAGAAATTCTGGTCACAATCGGAATAGAACTTCAGTTCTTAAACTTGTAGTTATGCTAAGTTACTATCTGATCACAGTGGATGCGTGGTAACGCACATGCGTTGTGTCTCCAGGGTCTATGGTTCGATCCCCCATGCGTGCGAATTTTTCATTCTTACATTTAAGTATTATTGGTAGAGTAATTGTTCATTAGTCTTAAATATTTGAATAAACACAAAAATATAAAAAAATATGTAATTATAAACAAAATAAAAAGAGCTAGAAAATTATATTTTATTATAGATTTTAAGCAGAAAACTGTCCAGTTACTGGTCAGTTACTTGCCAGTCACTGGCCAGATAATCTAACCAGTGACTGCTAAAGCAGCGCGTTACATTTCTAATCAATCACTTGCCAGATTTTCTGGTCAATAACTGGCCAGAATCTAGAAAAACTTCACAGTGACTGGTCATAACAAAGTTAAAATTTCTACCTGGGTTCTTCTTTAAAATTTAATTGTTTGTAAAGAATTTTAATACAATTCTTGTCAAAATTTTAATTATCTTTATAAATAATAAAATTCATCTTAGAAATTCCATTATTTTCGAAAGTAATAAAATTTTCCGCAGAAATTTAATTATTTTCAAAAAATTTTTTAAATTTCTTATCAAGATTATCATTATTGTCTGAAACTATTGTGATGAATATTGTTATTTCTGAAAATAATTGAATTTCTGAAAAGTTTTTTAAAACAAATTATTGTCAGAAATTGAAAAAATTAAAGGTTTTTTAGAATCATTTTTTTTATCTTGAGTTATTGAAAAGAATTGTACTTTTAATTAGTAATAATTACCTTCAGAGAAGACATTTCATCGTCAAAACTTTTTCATGATCGCCTCTGAAAATTCCCCATCTTCTTCAGAATCTCGAAAACTTGGTTCTACCTTTGGTTCAGATTGGGCTTCTACTATTATTTTTTTTGCCTCCTTGATTCTTTTTTCAGCCGCTTCGATCCTTTTATCTAACTCTTCCTTTTCTTTCGCCTGCTGCTTAATTTTTTTAGCGCGCTTAGCACGCTCCTCAAACGCGTCCGCTAGATCCTCCGCATTTTTGGCGCGTTCAAAGGCTGACTTCAACTGTTCCTCAACATCATTCAATTTTTCGGCTGCCTCTTGCGCATATTTCTCAGCCTCTTCCGCGCGTTTCTCCGCCTCTTCAACACGTTCTTTATACTGCCTTAGATCCTTGTCATCATTAGACGTAACATCCGTCGAAATTGATTCTAAAAAATGATAAATTTTAAATAAATACAATTTTCTTAATTTAGTTAAAATTGTAAAAATATAATTAAAAGATATTTACTTCTTCCATTGCGCGTCTCCATAATTAAAATGACTGATCTAAAAAAAATACAAATAAAATTTCATTACAAAATTCTACAAGAATCTAATTATTTAAATACAAACAGATAATTTATTGAATAGCTGAAAGTTACTTAAGGGGTTATGCCACTCTAGGATTTTAAAAAATCGATTTTTATTTTTTTGCATTAAATAGTCCCTTAGGGTATCAGAAATAACATATCGTAGTATTACGGCTAGGGAAAATCTCTAAGTAATTTATTTTCGTAGTTTCGTATTTTCGTAGCAGCGAGGTCCTTTTGTTAGCGCGCTACGGGAGGTGATCTTTGAAGGATCTAGAGCAGGTATAAGGCTACTTTTCTGTCTAAACTATAGTCTATTCTACACAATTTGGCTTCACAAACAGTATGCAAGCGTCTGTTTCAGTCAGTTAGGCATAGTCAAGCATGTGAAGAGCATATTAACTTTAAACTTTAAACGCGATTATCTGAAAACTACATTTTTCGAGTTGGCCGCACTAACAACTCGTACAATTTTCAACCGATTAAGTTCAAACTTCACAAACATCTTCAAAAATATATTTTTTAAGGCATCACGTAGGATTTTTTTTTTATTTTGTATTGTTCATTTGTTATTAACAATTTACTGACGATTTTTTGGTAGAATTTAGAAAGGTTAACTTCAGAAGTGCGCCATTTGACCATGGATCAATATATCGAAAAAATCCTACGTGTTGCTTTAGCTATTGTAATGTACAATAAATAAAAAATTATATACTCAAGATATTTCAAAATTTACGGGAACAGTTGGTGCGGCCACGGACCATATGCGCCACAGAGATGTCGACGGAAAACCCTAACAGCGTCGCCATTTTTCATTAAATTATTATGAAAATTTATATTTTTAAACTTCAAAAGATGTACAATAAACTCCTCATATTCCAATTTTAATTGACTTTATAAATTCTCTGCAAAAAATTCACAAAAAATGCCTATTTTTTCGGTTTCTAGAGTGGCATAACCCCTTAAAATTTAATTTTCATAGAGAATTTTAATAAAATTTTAAAGAATAATTACTTTTTTGAGAAAATCGACTAAAATTGTATTAAAAATATTTATTAACTTTATTAAAAGTTTTAAACAATTTATTTTTTTGAAATAATTTATACAAATATTTAGTTTTAATAATTTAATTTTGCAATGATTTTTATAAAAATAATTGAATTTCGGCTAACAATTTTGCTATTTATAAAGATAACTAAAATTTTGTCAAGATTTTTTTTTAATTTTTGAAAATAATTGAACTTCTGGAAATTTTCGTAAATAACGTTAGATTTCTAAGAATTGAATTGAAACAGTATTAAAAATAATTCAAATTTCTCTTAAGAATTTTATTAGAACACGTGGTTCGCGTTTAAACATAATATTTTAAAATTAATTAAATTAGACGATGTTATTAAATTGACCTAATTAATTCTAACACTTATTTTAAGTAATTGCCAATTCTTACTTTAGTCCACGAACTGTTGACAATAGCCACCAAAATTAAAAAGAAAAAAATTCCTCAATATTATCACTATACGTTCGTTGAGAGAGTCGAGTAACGAGTGACGATTGTTTCAATCTTTCTCATCAAAAAGTGGTTATAAGCAGGCTTTTCATTGGTTCGTTTAAATTCACACATTACTTTATTGCGCCGACTCGCAGCATGTACGATAATGGAGCGTTAACGGATAAATTCCCAATTATTTTTAAGGACGTAAACGAAAAAGGAGAAATTATTGGTAGTGGTCATAGCCTCACTGCAGAAAAGATTAAGAATCGAAATAATAATTTGAATAGATCAAGGTCTTGCCCTTCATTATCAAGTTCTCTCGGAATTAATTCTTCGACCATTCAACGGACACAAATGGCACAAGCTGGTTGTCCTAGGTGGCAGCCAGAACTATTGTTGTCTCCGGAAGTTGCTGAAAAAAAAGAAAATTTCTTTTCTTGTTCAGCACGGAAAATTCTGAGGAATTTAACGGAAATGAAGAACTCGACGAGGAAAGACAAGAATTGTTGCAGATGGATGAAGTTGCCAAGAAAGAAAAAGCAGAAGTGGATTTTGTGGCAACCTACGGCCACCAAAGACAATTTTTAAATAATTTAGTGAGTCCGCCAAATGCATCCGAAATTAGACAAATTTGGCCTATTATTTTCTTCCGAGATTTCTTCTTCTGGCATTATGAAATGCTAACAGGCCACTCGATAAACAATCTGAAAGACCGATTTGCCGAAGTCAGAGAAAAAATATTTGCCTTTGGTCACGCAAAAAATTTATCATCTGAAAATATTTATTCAGATGAAGAAGTATTTCGAATTTTATCGAAATACTTTAAGGAAGACCACAATTCAATGTTTCAAAATTGCCATGTAATTATTTCTCTTTCTAAAAAGATATCTTATACATTTTTAACATTGAAAACAGAAAAAATATATTTATATTATATAAATAATATAAATGGGACGTTCCACGTCAACAGAAACAGAGCTGTGGCCAAAAATTGGCGCAATGAAAAAAAACGTTAAAGGGCTTAAAAAATTCTTACACTCGTGTACTTTCAATAACAGGTGGGCGTTTTTGAAAATCCAAAATGGCGGCTTAATTATAAGCGAACAAAGTCAACAAAATCATGAACCCACAAATAATATCATAAATAAAAATGACAAAATCCATGGAAAAAAATTAAACGAAATTTTTTTTAACGTTTTTGGGGTGGCTTAATACAAATCTTAACTCAGATTTTGATTAGAGTTAAAAGATTAAAAATGGCGGAAGCAAAATGGTGGACAAATTTTAAAACTCCTTAAAATCGCTCAAAATTTGTTACTCGGGGGTTTTCGGGGTCGCTGATTACGAATATGACATCCGATTTCAAAAATTCAAAATGGCGGATCCAACATGGCCGACATTTTTCTTCAAATTCATTGTATTTGCTCAAAACTTGTTACTCTGGGGTTTTCGGGGTCGCTGATTACAAATATGCCATCAGATTTAAAAAATTAAAAATGGCGGATCCAACATGGCCGACATTTTTCTTCAAATTCATTGTATTCGCTCAAAACTTGTTACTCTGGGGTTTTCGGGGTCGCTGATTACAAATATGCCATCAGATTTAAAAAATTAAAAATGGCGGATCCAACATGGTCGACATTCTTTTCTTAACTTCATCGTATTCGCTCAAAACGTGTTACTCGGGGGTTTTCGGGGTCGCTGATTATAAATATGACCTTAGTTTTCAAAAATTCAAAATGTCAGATCCAATTTAATCGGTATTCCAATTTAATATTTTTTATAAGAAATAAAAAGCTGTTTGTACTTTGGCCTTTCTAGTAGCTGAAGCAAATTCTAGTAGCGTTTGAGTATCGTAATATTTTAACCGTTTTATTTGGTTCAATTATAAATCCGTGACAGGATCAGAGATAAAAACCAATTGTGATATGGAGTAGTTTTTTTTGTTCTGGTTCTGTCAAAGAATTGTGTTCGTTCTTGACTATTGTGTTTTTAGGGTTTCGTGGCCACCCGTGTAGAAATTGCCATATTTAGGCTATAACATGGCATGAAACACCTCCCCAGATCGGGCCCAAGTCTGGCCAGACTGGGAAGGTGTTTCATGCCATGTTATGGCCTACACAATGATCAAAAGATCTGGCCCCGATTTGGGTCATGGTTAAATTTCTACACGGGCAAGGACTGAATCCCTTATAGCGAAACTCTGGTGTCCGTCCGCAGTTTTCCCTAACAACCGTTGCCATGGAAACCGTTACTATGGTACTGGTTGTTATGGTAATGGTTGCTATGGTAATGGTTGCTTTGTTTACAGTTGCTATGGCAATGATTGTCATAGCAACGCTTGTTATTGAAATCATTATGTGGAGCTCCTGATTGATTTTATGATTTTTTCTTTGTCTTTTAGACCACGAAACCCCGAAGAGGTAGGCGCAATGCGCCTGCTTCTCTCACTGATTTTTTATCAGGCTTCGTTACATCAATGTACAACCAATTGTAACATGCGATAGTGTTTTTGCTATGATTCTGTCAAATATTTTTGTTTGTTAGATATGATATTTTTTTTTGATTGCCTTCAGCACGTATTTATAATTGAACCAAATAAAACGGTTAAAATATTACGATACTTAAACGCTACTAGAATTTGCTTCAGCTACTAGAAAGAACAAAACTTTAACTCTCTACAAACAGCTTTTTATTGCTTCTAAAAAAATATTAAATTCGAATGTCGGCCATGTTGGATCCGTCATTTTGAATTTTTAAGAACTAAGGTCATATTCGTAATCAGCGACTCCGAAAATCCCTGAGTAACAAGTTTCAAGCGAAATCGATGAATTTTTTAACAAAATGTCGGCCATGTTGGATCCGCCATTTTGAATTTTTTAACTCTGATGGCATATTCGTAATCAGCGACCCCGAAAACCCCCGAGTAACAAGTTTTGAGCGAATACGATGAATTTAAAGAAAAATGTCGGCCATGTTGGATACGCCATTTTGAATTTTCGAAATCCGATGTCATATTCGTAATCAGCGACCCCGAAAACCCCCGAGTAACAAGTTTTAAGCGATTTTAAAGAGTTTTAAAAATTGTCCACCATTTTGGTTCCGCCATTTCGAATTTTGAGATTCTAATCAAAATCTGAGTTAAGATTTGTTTTAAGCGACCCCAAAAACGTTTAAAAAAGTTTTGTTCAATTTTTTTTCTTGAATTTTGCAATTTCTATTAACGATATTATTTGTCGGTTTGTGATTTTGTTGACCTTCTTCGCTTGTAATTAGGCCGCCATTTTGGATTTTCAAAAACGCCCACCTGTTATTGAAAGTACACGAGTGTAAGAATTTTTTAAGCCCTTTAACGTTTTTTTTTATTGCGCCAATTTTTGGCCACAGCTCTGTTTCTGTTGACGTGGAACGTCCCAAATATATTTTTTTTATGTTTTACAGGAAGTAAATTCCATCTTCGACTTTACAGTACC